CAAGAAACTCAAGCAGCTGTTCTGAAAAAAGATGATCAACCCTATTAAAAGATGGGAGAATGAACTGAAAAAACCACTCTTTAAGGATGACATACAAATAGCCAAAAGGCATATGAAAAAAATTTCAAAATCCCTCATTGTAAGTGAAATGCAGATCAAAACAACAATGTGATATCACCTAACCCTGGTCAGAATGACTAAGATTCAAAAAGCAAAAAATGGTAAGTGCTGGTTGGGAGTGTGGTGAAAGGGGAACTGTATTACACTGCTGGTGGGAATTTAAATTGGTCCAGCCACTGTGGAGAATAATTTGGAGATTCCTCAAAAATCTACAAATAAAACTTCCATATGATCTCACAATCCCACTTCTTGGCATCTACCCAAAGGACAGAAGAATTCTTAATCAGAAAAATACTTGCACATTGGTATTTATTGTGGCATTATTCACAACTGCTAACACATGGAACCAACTCAAATGCCCATGAACAAATGAATGAATTGAAAAAGTGTGGCATATATACTCTACAGAATACTACTCAGTCATAAAAAACAACAAGACCCTGGTTTTGATAGAAAGTGAATGAATATGGAAGATTTACTGCTGAGCGAAGCAAACCAGGCTATGAAGGAGAGACATTGTATGTCCCCACTTTATACCAAGTGTCCGCACTCTATGACTTAAAATGAATGACTAAAGGATATAGAAACACAGTAAAATGGTTGTGAATACCAGATAAAAGGTGGAAAGAAGGAGAGTGAAGGAGTAGAGTCTGAGAAAGGACATTAAGGAGAAAAGAGAGAGGCATAGCATTAATGGGACAAAGAAATGGGGTATTATCTGTTGAAGATAACTTTATAGTACTATCAACTGGGGAGAAATGCACACATGTTGGAATATTCACTTTGCAAGCTAAATAATGTGATTTAATATATAAAAGAACTTGAAATAAAATTTAAAAAATGAAAAATTTTAAGAAGATGTTACAATATATCTAGTTGGTACTAATAAGTTTTTAGATGTTTTAAGGGCTGTCTGTAAACATATACAAGTTATGTAGAGGTAAATAACTTAATTTAGAATTTGATTTTGTAAAAACCTTGTCAAATATAGCAAAAAGCTTAACTATGTGACTTTTTAATGGAAAATAAAAGTTAAACATTTTCTAAACACCTTAGGAATGAAAACAGGCTAATGCACTGTGTGTTGGCACCAAAATTAAAGCAGGGAAAAGCTAGAAATGAATTTATTTTCTTGTTAGATATCCACTGTGTAAAATATAACATATAACATGTAAATATCAGCTGTTTTATTAAACCAATTTCATGAACATTAAAAAGAAAAAGCTAACCCACCATTGTATGTGCAAATACAGAACCTGATTGCTTAATCTATGTCAGTGTTGAAAAGAATGGTTGTTTTATATCACTTTGCAGTTTCAAGAGGCAAGTCAATATTTTCTGTTCCAGCTGCATGAGAGTTTAAAAAGTACAAAATACTTTCACATATTTACTTGATATGTGTTTAATTTTATGGTAGGTATTTGATTAATCCTCTCTGGGAGCGTTTTAGTTAAAATTGAATTTGAATGCCCACAGGAGAAATTTCTCCAATGTTTGAGTATCAGGATTTATTGAGCTTCTATTGAGTGATTTTCTTTTAGTTTCAGATGTTCTGAATCACTCACCTGTCAATTGCTCTCTTTTGCTTTGGCCATGAAAAAGTTCAAAGTGACATGTCGATCCAGCACTACTAAATAAACATACCTTCTAACATACATTTTGAACTCTTAAGTACACTCATAATTTTTTTTTAATTTGCTGCAGGGTGTGTATATTTATCAGAGAGGAACAGACAAAGAGGGAGAGAGAGAGAGAGAAAGTGAGAAAGCACCCCTCTGGCGAGGATGGCCACATTACAGTCCCTTCTCCTCTGTTCTCCTCAGTGAGCACATTTGGGCACACACACACATTCATGTATGGCATATTTTTCAAGTTGCTGGGTCCAGGACTCAAACCATGCAGTTGGCAATGTGTAATCCAGCTGCTTTAACCACCATGCCACTCTTGATTTTACCTTTTATTTTTTTAAACCCATTTTCTTCTCTTTAGGCTCATTGCATCATTTGATCTTACTGTACATAATTTGATTAGAAGAATAATTAAATTTTTTTGAACAAAGCTAGTTGTATCCATATGCACACATTCAAAAACATGAGCATGCATATATGTTCACATACATATTTGATATATATATATGCATATAAACACATACTTATAAGTAGATCATTACAAAAATTAAAATCTATTTATCCATGAAGATGGACTATATTCATATGCAGGTCCTATTTCTACAGTAGCTTTCTTTCCTCCCCAACTTGTGGGAAATGCCTGCTGTTCTTGCCTCTTCGGAGGCAAGAGTTAGATAATCCAGGAAACAGAACATCCCCTCTGCTGCTGTGAAGCTAGCCAACTAGAGTTAAATGACATAATCTTGGAATCACATGAAGTCAATGATGATATAGTTCCCTCTTTGTATCACAAAACAATTGGCAGGCACTGTGTTTTGGCCAAAATCTGTGTCAAATTGCTACATTTACTAATCCAAATTCTGTGGATTCTTTTTGTTGTGCATGTTTATTTCTCATTCTATTTTTGTTCTTGTTTCTGAGTGCCATCTTCTGCTATATCTGTAACTGCAATTATAGCAATAATGAGTGAATCCTTAGTTTATACTGTGTAAAAACTATCAAAGCACAAATACAGATATATCTTATGAGAAGATTTTATTTGGATGCATCATGTCAAGTATTTATATTACTGAAATCTTAAAGTCACTTAATTCTTACCAGTTTGAATGACAGTTGATAATAAGAAAAGCACATCAAATTAAGAATCTGAAGTCCTGGATCCCACTCTAAATTCTCTTGGAAATTAGTACATGGCCTTGGGCAGGAAAGATTAGGCCTGCCTCAACTGGCTTATATGATTTTGTGAAAGTGTAGTCAAGTTATTTGTAAAAGTATTCTGAACTACAAAGTGCTAATCAAATCTAATATATTGTAATTGCTTAATTTTTCTCCTGAAAAATTGATTTTTGACAGTGAGCTCATTTTACTTTGCTACTGTTGGCCTTAGTTGACATGACTATAAGAATTTGAAATATATTTCATAAATAATTTCAAAGTGTCATAAATCTTGTCAATCACCTTTGACATGACTTATGATAAATGGTTTAAGATTTTCAAAAATAATTGGTATGGTTTTTCTTTTAGTCACTAGTCTCATGGGGGGAAACCTACCACTTCTAGTAGGAGTCACTGTCTCTGAGGGTGATATGATAATTTCAGAATGCTAATTTTCAGAGAACGCATACATGTACCATAGAGATTTGTCAAATTCTAGCCCTCTCTTTCGTATCTGAAAACAATAAAAAAAAAAAATCACTGAGCAAGGATGGAAGAAAATTCTTTCTCTCTCTGTTTTAAAATGTGCCTATTTAGTGTAGACACACTCTTGTCCCTCTTCCCTCTAAGAAAAAAAATCGCCCATTGCAGCTTCCTTTGGTCATGGGCGCAAGGTAAAAGTTGCTCAAAAAAGGAGATTCCCAGGCCAGGGATGTCATGATTCTGCTGGTTGTAGCACTTACCAGAAACTCTTAATGTGGAATCTTTTACCCGGATAATATTTATAAATTCAAGGTGTCTCAGACTAGTCTTTTTCCCCCTTGGTCTATAAATTCATTTAGACTTTCCATTGAATTGCAATATTGACAAGGATGGAAATACAATGTTTATAGCTTGCTACTATCAAGAAATGCAATGTTATTAAATCTTTACAGGACTAATGTGAGTTAAAGCTGAGGAATACTATCCAAAAATAGCTCCCATGATCTGCTAGGCCCCAAAAGTTAAGAAAGTATTGCAAAGTCACATAACTGTCAGGAGCAGACCAAGATCAGGACTTGTACTGTTTAATTTGTTGTTCTCTCTTTAATTCATTTAGCCACCAAGCAAACCTTTACTGAATTGTCCTATCATATATAATCGAAAATAAATCTCTTTAGGGAAAACATAATGGGAGAAAGATTAATTGAGGGCATTTTCCTTTAAATCGGTAGAACAACAGAACTCACAGAGTTCTAAACGGTTGATGACTCTTAGAGAACCAATAGATAACTGCACTGTAACCTGTCTGTCCATCTTGGCATAAGGGTTCACTCAGGACAGATGTCACTCGTAAGGCAGAGAAGTGTGGCCAGAGATAAACATGTTGTGGTAAGGCTAAAGCTCTCACATGATTCTCTGCTGGTACTTGACTAGGCAGTCAACTCTTACTTCAGACTGAAATTAGAAACATGGGCAAAGGGAGGGATAAACTTTGGAACTTGCTTGAAGGTATGAGATGGCAAGGTGGTTTGGTTTGATTTATCATAAGTTAAGGTGGAATATGCACACATGATCTCTTCTGAGAGCTTTCCTGAAGATTCTGTTAGTGTCACCGTGTGCCTCTGAGTAAGTGTGTACAGCAGCCTGCACACACACCCCAGGGGAGTGGTACAGGAAGGAGGAACACCCCTCTATCACCACTACCATATACTGAGTTGTCCAAAATTTCTAACAGGTTCATTTGGGCTGCTTCAAATTCAGAGAGAGTTGGCCAGCAAGTATGTGAAGCTGCACTTTGCCAGGCCTCAGGAATTCCTAAACAGCAGCTCTACATTCCCACTTGTTACTGATGATCTTGCCCTAGAATAGTCCGAAGTCAATTAATAACGTGGTACAGGGATAGTGCTCTCCGCTGGGCTATATTCACATCTGCAGAAATTGCAATGTCATTTCATCCTTGATTGGCCAGATCCTAATCTCTGTGTGTGAGACCAGAACGACCAGCCTATACCCTTTTGTCACAGCAGTAGTGGCGAGAGAGAAATGAAAATATGCTGCGAATGACTTTGTGTATGTGTTTCTTCCTCGTGCTGTGGTTCCCCAACATCCACATAGCTTTAGCCCGACGTGCCATTTAGACCGGAGTCTTGGATTGATCTGTGATGAATGCCCTGTCGGGTACACAGGACCGCGCTGCGAGAGGTAAGCACGTATTACACTGTCTTGCAAAATGATTTCCACCTTGGGAGTTATAAAACCATAGGCATTATCATCCTTTACACTAGGCTAGAAAAGCTGCCAAACTCAATGAGGGAAAAGAAAGTTTCTCCACACACATGTCAAACAAATGCATTATATTTTTATAGTTTATTTATTCTCTAGAAATTGCTCCATAAATCTTCATTCACTCAGAGAATATCTGATTAATGTTTTAATCTTAAAGGTTAAGCATTAACCTACAATCTTTCCAGAAAGTACTGCTGAAGTGGAAAGTCAAGACACTTTAAGATTTATCTTACTGTCTACATTGGCAACATTTATTTTTCATAATTAGGTTTTGTCCTTAAAATGTGGCTCAAATTCATAGTTCATAGTTCAGCAAGTAGTTCATAATTTACTTTTAAAAAAAATTGAAATGGGAAACCAAATGCAATTTATTATCATGATTTATATCCTCTTCTAATTATTCCTAAACTGGTATTTTAATTCCTGTTGTTTTACTAGGTTGTTTTATAGCAGAACCTTGAATATTATTGTACAGAATTTGTATAATTTTATTTCCTTCTGAAATGTTTTCAAAACAATGGTTTTCTGTATATTCGATTTCAATACAAAAATGACACACACACACACCCCTTCGTCATTACCAAACACAACCATCTCTCTCTGGTATTAGTGGTAAAAATAGTCCCCTTTGCTACGCATTTTCATTCAGCATCACTAATGATAACCCCGGGAGAGCTCTTTCTGCCTGTCCTTTCCTGTCTTCTTAGCAGCCCTCACCCCTGTTTTAAGCTGGGTGCAAAAACTGAATGAATCAGGGACCAATCACCCAGAGAACTCAACTAGCAGCTAGCAGTTATGAATAGAGTGCCAGTGCCAGTTCCCACAGCAGCAGGTGCTATCTGTGAGGTGCCATCTGTAAATCAGTAATGGGAGAAAAGAACTGAAATCAGAAGGATTTATTTGCAATCAAGAAACTAAAGGTTGTCAATTTTATTTTCTTTAAAAAAATGTATACATCACTTATTTTAAAGAGAACATATCATTGCAATCGCCAAGACAGATTTACATTAAATGCCTAATCCCAGCTGACTATAGACTACCT